AAATGAGGAAAAAAAAAGGAGTCAAAGGACCGCCTTGCCTAACCGATCTTTGGAGTCTGATCTCTGATGAAAGGATACCATTAACCTGTATCCTGGTAGTTGCGTTGGAGTGAAGAATCTGGACCCACTTTCATATTGAATGACCAAAATTTAGTTTACTAAGACATTTATTCAAGAATCTTCAATGGTCATTTCGTCAAAATGGACATATTATATTTTTTGAACGAAATTGAAATTGAGTTTTTTGGCCAAAATTTGGTCCAAAGTTTTGACTCATGGGACCTCCTAGATGTATTTGCCCTCAAGCTGAGACCAGATACATCTAAGGGGTCCAGCGTTTTAGGAACGCCGGACCCCTAAAAACAAAAAATTTGGACCGGATTTCGGTAAAAAAACTCAATTTCAATTTCGTTAAAAAAATATAATGTCCGTTTTGATGAAATTGTTGTTCTTCAATCTACATTATCATAAGCTTTTTCAAAATCTATAAACACAAATGCATCATTTTGTTGAGACTGGCGATAAAGCTTAATCATTTCATTAATTAAAAATATGTTATCTTGAATATGTCTGCCATTAATAAAACCACTCTGTGCTAGATGTATAATGCCAGCCATGATTGGAATCATCCAATTTGCGAGAGTTGTGGCCAACAGTTTATACACTACTGTGAGAATAATGAAGGGTCCGTAGTTTTTCTTGTTAGTTTTGTCACCTTCTTTGTAAAGAAGGGTGAGAATCCCCTGACCCACTATCTCTCCCATCCTCCTCGATTCTTGAACAACTTTAAAACTTTTCATTAAATCTGAAGAGAAAGTCGATCACAATGAGACTCAAAACGCCTTAGGGAGTTCATCCACCCTGGGTGTCTTATCCTCCTGCATTTGTAACAGAGGCGTCAAAATCTCCTCCTTAGTTAGTGGTCTTTCCAGATTCTCCCTCTGTTCCCTTGTTAACGATTGTGTTAAAGGTGTGAGGAACCTTTGCATAGTTATATCATCTTCCTGATGTTTGTTCTGGTCCTTGGGGGATGTGAATAACTTTTTGAAAAAATCATAGGTGATCCTAAGGCAACCAGCTAAGGATGTTAAAAGAGAGGGTTTAGAGGACTCATCAATGCTCATGAAACCTTCTATAGTTGTTCGTCTAGATCTAGCCCTTGCAAGAACAAACGTTGTCTCATCCATTTGGCCTTCAGACATAAACTTGGTTAGCTTTCCTCTAACTAAGTACCCCTGCTAGCGATATTGTGCAAAATACCCCATCTTTCAAGGGCATATGGATTTTTTTTTTTGCTGAAAAAGGTTGTTCTTCATTCTGTAGAGGAATCTCTGTCTACAATTGGCATTGCCAACCCTCATCATGGAGAACTGAGGAGGAGGTATTGGTCCTTTTTTTTTTCTGATCGGACCTTTGTCTGCACTAACTTTTTTTTTTTTTTTTTTTTGAGAACTTCACGCTTAGGGAAACCTGCTTAACGAGGTGATAAGAGCATCCTCCTTAAGTAGGTCCCAGTATTGAAGGCTCGATCTATTGTGGGGAGCAACACCTGCTGGAAATCGGGTCTGGCGTCCCTGTACAACTCAATTGTTTGAATTAATGTAGTTATACTGCACCCAGAGCAGGTGCGCCTTCTGTGTATCCTATCTCTAAGTACCTTTGTGTATTCTAAACAACTATGAGTGCAAGAAGAGGATATCAACCAATCAATCACCATAGTTGTAGATGGAGGGGATGATACTATCAACACCTATATCGCTCTGTTGGTATAAATGATATACTACCGGGGTGAAGGCATTGATTGCTTCCCTAACTCGGGAAGGATTAACCTCCTAACCTCCGACAATACGGTGGATCAAGCATTGTGAGCGTACTCAGGAGAACAACACAATCGATATCAGCCACTAGCGATCTGACCACAATAGCCAGATGATGTAAGTGGTAACATTACACATGCAAAAGTATGATGGGAGCCTTTGACGCCCAACCTCACGCCCACACGACTTCCTGATCGGAGTAGGATGTGGGCCTGGAAGTGCGAAAAGGGGTGTGCCAATGATTTTTGGGAAAGTGGGGGAGTCTTAAGGGTATGAACGCAATTAGGCGAATAAGGGGCGCGTGCGCAAGGGACTCAAGGTCTGATGGAGCCGGGGCACTGTGGGCGACAGCTTACGAGGAAATCCCTCCGCAGTGGAGGTGGTCCCGAAAAGTTAGGCCGTCGGGGCCCGCCACGTGGCGCAGTGGAATTTCCGCGGACATAGTCGATTCTCCGTGTGACAGGGGTATCGCAGCCTTATGAGTTCGTTTATCCAAGGGGTTAAATTATCCGGGTCGTAGGATGAGTCATAGTTCCAAGATCGCGTCATGGTATCATCGTAGATGGGACGGCTCGGGTCGGGTTATCGTCACCTCGCACGGGCATGTGTAGGGCAGGCGAACTTAGTTGCGCCTCATCGTGCCCGTACGGGAGGACGGTTCCGCCGCGAATCTTTTTGGGTGGGCGAATCGACGCACGGGAATGCGTGTAAGGGCGCGACTCGGATCGCGTTTACAGGTGTTCTCCTGCGGCGTTCGCGGGGCCAGACTTCGGATCGTCTAATTGCTTCGTAAGTTTCGATTATGCAAGATGCAACCATATCACAACCCCATCGTGAGACAAACGAAAACGAGAACAAAATCGCTAATCGGGGCCAGATTCTTATCCCATCTACAGCGGCATCAAGTGCAGGTAAGGATTCGACACAAACAAAAAGCAAGGACAGGGATTCTCTGCGAAGAGATAGACAAGCAGGCATAACCTTCACACATCCATACATTCGACAATCATACCCATAATGCAATCGCAAGGACAGGTGTGAGCAAAAACCCAAGTCCAGATTCCAGAAAGCCGCAACGAAAATAAGAACGGGCAAACCGCCCGGAGCAGCAATCAAAATGTATGTACACAGATGAAGAGAAGGAAGAGACAAAGGAAAAGCAAATCCGCGTCCATCGACCTCAACTCTCTTCTCCTCTCTCTCTCTCTCCGATGCGGACAGTCCGTCGTCGCGCACCAACCCACGAAGTTGTCACCCCGCTTAGTCCTCCCGCACCCGTCGGATTCGCCCGTACCCACAGTCCGTCGTGGCCCACGTCAATCCCGCGCGTTCAGCACCAGCTTGTCAGGTCGCCCAACTCCTACTCTACTCACCTCTTACTTCGCTCGTGTGCCGACCCTTCCTGATCGCGCAACCCCGAGCTTCCGACAACGGGTTAAGAGACCTGACTAATCGCGCAGCCGAAATTTATAGCGTGAATGCATGCGTGAAAAACACGGAATTACCAGGACTTAGAGTGGGGATTAGAGAGGGAGCGCCTGCGTTCTGCATGATCGGCCGCGGCGTGGGGGACGTAACCCTTCTCCACGCATCGATCCGAGCATGCAAGCCGCGACTTACAAAAAATTCAGCAAAAGAAAGAGAGGGAGGGCGGGAGAGACGGAGTGCAAGAAGAAAGATACAGTTACAATGGCGCCCGCCCAAAATTACAGTTACACACACGATTAAGGGCGCCCACTAATCAGAGTACCCTTGCGGCCGCATGAAGAAGCGCGTAGACTAAAGGCGCCGCGCGGCAGGAAAAATCCTAATTACCGAATTCCTAAATTCCTATCTAATGCGAAAAATCGAAAAGTACAAATTCAAGAAGGAAAGTCCGAAATTCCGAGAGCCGTCGGGGCTCGACAAAATTCGAAAAGATTCAAAAGAAAATTCAAAAGGAACGAAGCAATTTCCCGCGCGATGTCCGCGCCCAAAAGATCGAAACCGAAYGGAAAGAAACGASGTCAACATTTAYTGATCGCGCGCGCGGTGGCGCGCCAGACATCCATCCGACCAATCAATCAACCGGCCGTCCCAGGACACACCCAGCTCCGAACCCAGTCATCCGACAAGAAGCGACAAAAAAGATAAAAAAACAAGGGTACTGATGCAATTTTCCACTGATCCCGATCTCCCGTAATTGGCCCAACCTTCCCAGCTTAGGACCCCTCATTGCAACCGTGCAGCAAATCACGCGTTACAGAAAGTGCTTCGTCACATATGTGACGCCCAGGGGGTTCCAATATTAGCAAGCTCCTGCTTGCTTGTTAACACGTGTCGATTTCTCTAATCGATCGACACGCGGAGCATTTCTTTTTATGCCACTTACCGTTTGATTGTGTGTGGACATCATCCAACGTGGCAACACTGCTCTCCTACTAGTTCCTCAGATTGGGCTCTCGACGATCCAAGGACGGGATCTTTCTCGTGCCGTCGCCGCGACACACGTCCGTTACCTGTTGCCTCAGTAATTAACCGGGAGGAGGAAAGGGAGTCGGTACATGGCGGCATGGCGGGGTGGAGGGTTTATGGGTAGCGGGGGCAGGGGACTTTCCATTCCGGCTACAGTCTCCGGGAGCTCTTGGTAAAGAACAATGCGGTGAAAGCGGGGGAAGCGATTGCCAGTGGGAGGGAGGGACGCGAGATAATCGGGATAAAGGGTGGTGAGAGTCCGGAAAAGTGCCGTGCGGAAACGATCGCGATCTTCGCATGCGGGGATGGTCCCCGTTATCACGCAGTAGACCTCGATCATATTGTAGCCTCGCCACGCGGCACTAAGGAGCAAGACATGGAGGCAGAAGGCTGGGACGGCGCATCGAATGGAGGGGTGGGGATGCACCACTATAGCGAGGCGAGCAGCGTAGAAGTGGCGGAAGATGTCGTGGGGAAACGGATTGGCGGGGAACGTGATGGGGGTGATGAGCTGGCGGAGGGTGAGGTAGTCAAGGGGACGGCGAGAGAGTAATCGGGGACGAAGGCCGATCGCCCGTATCGGTACGTCGGCGAACTAGGGGACGGGTTGGGTAGGAGGGGGATCGGCTCCGTCGCCGCGCTGATGAGGTCGGAGTCGTGGCCGCGAGGTCGCCATCTTCAGGCCGGGGTGGCTCCGGATCTCGGTTCGGGTCGTCGGGGATCTGCAGACTCGCCCCGTTTGCGAGCTCTAACTCCTTCCCGTCCGCGATCTCTTCTCTTTTGCGGGCCGCCTCGAGATCCTCTGCTTATGTACCCGTACGCAACGCTTCTTCTGTCACGGCTTCCCACTTCGATCCAGCAGGCTCTTCGTCGTGCTCCTCTTCTCCTTCCTCGTCTTCTTCTTCTTCTTCGCTCTGTTCCCACTCGCTATGCTCACTATAGCTTCCTTCTTCGGGGGTTTCGTCTTCTTCCCCGAGCTCTTCGTCGCTGTCCCCGCCTTCTTCCAACCCGTCTTCGTCTTCGTCACTTCCGGTACTCTCTTCCTCCTCCTCTTCTTCTCGAATGGCCGCAAACTGCTCCGCCGTAGGATGCCTGAAGAAGGCAGGATCACGAATCGTCCGTGGATCCAAATATTGTTGCTGCGACGGCGGGATGCGCTCTGCGGCTCCCTCTACACAAGCCGACCACTGAAGATARGGTGTCAATGTGCGAGAAAGTACATGGGGAATTGGATGCTCGTCGTCTTGCGAGATGATGTCGAGAGGGAGATCGTCCGCCAGCTGCGCCACCGGGATCGTGAGCTCTCGCGTGATGAGTTCCTGATGACCGGGCCGCACTGTACCGAATAGGAATGCGAGAAGCTCTCCCTCCACGTTGGTTTGCCAGGCCTAGATGAACAGCAACTCCAGGCGCTCTATGCAAGGCGGGTGCGCTTCGTCTTCGATCCACGTCAGCCGTACCTCAACCAAGCACAGTGAAAGCTCGATGAAGTCTTCGCGCCACAGGACCCAATGGGGAGGATGGATATTGGGGACAGCAAGGGGCTTTAGATAGTAGGAAAGGCGAGGATGGATATCGGACTGCCAGAAGGTGGGGAAGGTGGAGGGGAGATCAAAAGCGGAGATCGGGGAGAGACACATTGGGGACGTGGGAAGGGAACGAGGACAGGGAGATCTGTCGTGACTCGTGCTGATACATCCGCAGGCTGTCGTATTCGATCGCTCGTGCCGTGGCGACTATATCCCCGGGACGAGCCAGAAGTTGGGTCCACTCGGCGACCAGGTCGTTTGCCTACGCGCGCAGCGATGCCTTCACCGTTGAATGCTGTAGGGGAAGGAGCATAGAGAGATCGCCCCGAAAGTTGATGACGACCGATATACTGCTGACCCCTGGCACCGCTCGCTGATGGACTGCTACTGCTTCGGCCAGTACCACCGCTTTAGGCCGACCTTCGATTCTGAACACCGCCGCCGCTTACACGGCCTCCATGCAGAAGAAGTGCGCAAGCCGCCGAAGATCTGGATTGAGGCAGGGATGATAGACCTGCCGGATCGTCAATCGATCACGGGGCGCGAGCGCTGCTTCAGTGAGGGCTCTCTCCTCCAGAAAACTCATGGCGATGGCGAGGGTGACGGGGAGGCAGAGAGGGAGCAAGAGGAAGAGGGAGATGGTGGAGAGTCAGAGTCGTCGTCTTCGGCTTCCTCAGAAAGGGAGATCGAGGGAGAAGGAGACGGAGCAGAGGGGAGGAGGCGAAGATAGGATACGTGGCGTGTGATTGGACGTGCCGATCGACTGCTAGAGACTTCAGGGGCGAGACGCACGGTGTCCACGCCGCTGGAACCGAGCTCGATCACGCGATATCGCCCGAAGAATCGTGGCGCTAGCTTGCCCTGGCGAGCACATTTCCTCACCTGCACCATGTCCCCCAATTTGTACTGGGGCCGCGGACTCGCATTCCCATTTCGGGCCTCGTAGCTCCGGACCTGCCGGCCTTGGGCTAGTTCGGTCATTTTCTGTCGTTTTCGGGCTAGCCTGCGCAGTGACCGTTCCATTAGCTCTAGGTGTCGTTTGGCCTTGTCCCTAGCCGTGGCCCTGGTGGGCCGTCGGTTCAATGTAGACTCGTCTGGGAGGCTTGGTATTGAAACGCAAGCGACGCTATTGGTCCTTAATTGGAAGGGGCTTAGCCCCGTCGATTCGTGAAGCGTTCCGCGATGGACCGCCAGGATGTGATCGACGATATCGGGCCAGGGTCTCGGATCCCGTGCCGCGATGTTTCTTCGCAATGCTGTCTTTATCACCCGGTTAGCTTTTTCGACCAGCCCATTGGATTGTGACATGTGGGGTGCAGTGTTCCGTATGGCGACGCAATGTATGACCAGGTTTTTTAACACTTCTCCCCTGAATTCAGCCCCGTTGTCGGTCAGGATCTCTTCTGTATCCTGATGCATCCCGAGGAAACGGTTGACATATTGCGCGATTTCCGTGGCTTGCCGCGTGCGACAAGGATACGCTTCGATCCATTTCGAGAAATGGTCGGCAAATACCAACAGGACTGAACATTCGCAACTATTAGGGCCAGGAGGCACCACTATGTCGGTAGTGTCCATGCTTACTCTTTGAAATGCCCGTTCAACAGCCGTGGGCACTATCGATCTTGGTGGTTGAATCGGCGCTTTATCAACGACGCAGACTTGACAGTTGGCGACGATGTATTTCACATCGTCGCGGATATTGGACCAGTACCACTCGTTTTTGTCGACAACGGACTCCGTGATTCGTACAGCAAAATCCCACTGCCGTCCGTGGGTTGTCTTAACCCAGTCATACCGCATGAACGGATGAGGTACCACCATCCAAATCCCACTGCCGTCCGTTTTCCGTTTTTCTAATCTACCTTCGATCCACCGATAATCCCGAGCCCTTTCGTTGGCCCTCCTCCAATCTTCCTTGGTGAAATCCTGGAGGGGGTTACCTACTAGGTTGGCAATTAAGGCAATATCAGTCCATACTTCGGCCCTTCTAAACTTCCGGGTCTTTTCCAACCCTTCTGACGTGGCATCCAAAAAGCGAGCCTCGGTCGGAATCTTGTCGGTCCGGCACAATGGGCACAACCACGGTTTACTATCGTTCCTGTATTGGATGCACGAGCCATGGGCTCGTGCGACACACTGTCGGCAATCTATCCAATCCGCATACCCCTCCCCGTTAGGACGCATGGAGACTGAATATGCGCGGGAGATAGCTTCGCAAAAATAGCAAAATTTATCAGGCAGGGAGAGGAGAGACGAAGAGGAAGGGGGAGAGAGTGGGGTAGTGGGGTTACCTCCATCACCCATCGCCACCGTTTTACTTCTTGCCACGTGGAAGAACTGCCACTTGTCCGTATTTCGACTCGTTGGTCAAGTCTGGCTCTTTCCACGGTGTGATTTCCTCGCCCTTTGGTACCTTGGCAGGTCGATGCAGACGTGTCAGCTCGTCCGCGTTGCCGTGTCGCTCTGTCTTTCGATGAACGATATCGAAGTCGTATTCTTGCAGTCTCACCGCCCAACGGCCAATCATGCCCGTGTAGTTGGTGAGTTTCTTCAGCGCCGGCAAGGGTTCGTGATTTGTCACGAGGTGAAACTTCTGTCCGTAGAGATACGGATGGAAGTGTTGGATTCCCCATACTACTGCGTAGCATTCGCCTTGAGGTGCGGAGTCGTTTCTTCGTTCGCCCAGTACGGTGCATGACGCGTATTCGATGACGTGTTCACCCCCATCGTTCCCCTTCTGCGCTAGAATAGCGGAAATAGCCTTTAGTTGCCAGTCCATGATGAGAATGAACTGCTTCGAGGGGTTCGGCCGAATCAAAATAGGGGCCGTCGCCAGAGCGTCTTTGAGGGTTGCAAAGGCCTGCTGGCACTCCGCGTCCCAGCTGAGAGGCTGGTCCTTCCGTAACAGACTTGTTAGTGGTCGTGCGATCGCGACAAAACCCTTGATGAAGCGCCGATAGTACGACGCCAGCCCCAGGAAGGCTCGAACCTGCGTCAGTGACGTGGGAACCGGGGCTTCCTTCACCGCCCCAACTTTTCTCGAGTCCGGCCGCAATCCTCCACGTGTCACAACGTAACCCAAGAACGAAATTTCCGAGAGGAAAAATTTGCTCTTCTCAAGCGCAATCTTGAACCCAGCGTCTCTCAACGCGCCCAATATCCATTCGATGTGTTGCGCGTGCCCGTGATAGGTTTTCGAGTACACCAGGATATCGTCCATGTACACGATTACGCAGAAGTTAATCATCCCTTGCGTCAGCCGTGTCTTGTTGACAAAATTCTGGAACATCATGTTCATCGCTCGCTGAAACGTGGCAGGCGCATTGCAAATCCCCATCGGGCACCGAACCCACTGCCACGTGCCCTCAAACAACACAAAGGCCATTTTCGACCGATCTTCTTCCCTTACCAGAATATGATGGAAGCCGTGTCGAATATCAAACTTGCTGAAATAATTAGCACATCCGATTGCGTTCAACAGATCATCAATCCGGGGGAGGGGATACACATCTTTGATCGTGATTTCATTCAACTTGCGATAATCAATGCAAATGCAATTCGCCCCGTTTTTCTTTGGTACTACGCTACGGGAAAGGACCAAGGTCCGGTAGCAGGTTCAATCCAGCCGCTGGCTTCGAACTCCCCAATTCGTTCAAGAGCCTTTTTGCGTTCAATAAAGGATACCGATAAGGTTTGCAATGAATCAGGGAGTGATTTTCTGTCTGAATTTCATGTTGGTACTAACAACAACCCAATGTTAGTGTCTGACACACTAATCGCTCCTTGATATTCCGTTAGAATATCCGCAATTACCCGGTGGATTTCATCCGGCACGTACTGTGGAACATGCAGTTCGAAAAGTTGGTCCCAGATCCGAACATCAATCTGCTTCGTGCTCGCCTGTTTTGCCAAGTCGGGTGGAGGCGCCGAGATGAACGAATGGTCCGATCGCCAGGAGAACACCGTGGCCATCATCTGGGCATCTTCTTCTCGGATTGCCACGTGTCCTTCCGGAGTAATCCCGTCACAAACATCCTGCCATGGCACTTCCTTAGTTGCGATCTTTATCCCCAGTCCGTCTGTTTCGGCTTCAAAATGCCCAGGGGGTTCCAGAGAGCTTGCTTCCGCCCCCAAGCGTAACAATCTCACTTCTTTGGCCGATGTTAGTAAGGACTTAGGTAGATCCGTAATGTCACAGTAATGCTTCTTGTCGCTGTACCGGGCGAGGAGATGGGCGATTCCTTCGTACAGGGTTTGAGGGGGTTCCAAAGAGTCGACCATCCTCGAAATCTGCACGAGGGGCTCACCCAAGATCATCGCCTTGGTCCTTTGAATTTTTCGGCTGGTCAGTTGCATTGTTCTCGCTATCGTTCTAGGCGGCGGGTAGTAAACGCGTTGTCGTACCAATTCCAAGATCTCCGGATCATCTTCGTCACTTCTTTCCGCATCATTTGTTGACGATAATCCCTCTGCGGATTCATCCCAGGAGATCGTGCGGAGAGTCCCTGCCATCATCGGCGAAACCCGCGGAACCGCGTTTATAGTAGTGCGAAGGGTCAATCGCATGGACACAGCGTAGGGTTTTCCTCCTGTATTTCGGAGGACGATCGATCGTCGTTCGAAGTCCAGGTTTGCTCGTAACGCCACAAGAGCGGGAAGTCCGAAAAGAACGTCGTACGTGTTTACATCTAGTACTACGACATCCCCAAGCGCGTGCACTTTACCCAATCGGAAAGCGACATTGGTCATTCTTCCCACTGTTTTAATCCTTTCTTCATCAGCCGAAACGAGCTGATCTTTCTCAGAAAGCATGATCAGGTCGTTCTTCCTTCCTGCCCTTTCGACCACTCTCAGTGAAATAGCCAACACAACTGCTCCTGAATCTATAATCGCGTTGTAAGGAATTCCCCAGATTTCTATATCACACTCTGCGGATTTCCATGGAATTGGTTTAATCCGTAAGAAGTGATCATCTTTCTGGATTAAACCGACCCGTATCGGATGCGAAGTACCTACTGGATTTTCTTCGGGTGCGGGGCTTTTGGCCTTTACATTCGGTGCTCGGGCGAGGGCGAATCGCTTTTGGTTTGCTTTGCAGTGCTGTAGCATTCGCTCATTGGCTTACTCAGAGATCGAGAGTAGATGACCGATCGGAAGTGGAATCCAATGATCCAAGGATCGGATGATGTTTAATACATCGATCTCTCCTGTGACGAAGGTGGGTCCCCCCGACTCCATTTCTCCTAAGGACGGTCGCCATTCCGTCACTTCTTTCGGTTCGGGTGCGGGTCTGATTGTTCCGATCATTCCAAGCCCAGGATATCTCAGCGATACGTACTGATCTAGTGGAATTAACTCGGCGGCCTCTTCCGAGGTGGCCAGGGCACTTCCCCCACCCTCTACTTCTTCCATCAGGGCTCCGACTCGTCTAGGTCCGTTAGCGATGGGAGCCGCTGCCATAGGCGCGATCCCAATTCGCTGTTGCGGGGGTCGGTGGGGGCAATCACGGGCTAGATGTCGGGGCTGATGGCAGGCATAACAAACATTCAGATTGTTCGCAGCTCCTCCGAGAGCAGGGGCGGGGGCTAATCCTTGCTGCATCGGAGGGGCACGCACCGCAATGGGCCTCATATTCCTCATCATGGCCTCCAGCCGAGCATTGTGGTCTCGCTGTTCTTTTTTGCTTTCCTGGATTAAACTAATCAATGTTTTGGTTAGTTCGAAAATGGCCGCCGATTCGTTCAATCGTACGGGAGCCTCAACCGGCGGCGGGGGTAATGCCCTGACGGGGGGGGTATCATAGGAGCAGAGATGTTTGGAGTCTCGCTTAGGATTACTCGTTTGGGGCCTATCTGCTCCATATAGGTGACAGGTCCTGATACAAACCCCATGTTTTCAAATTTGTTCTGCAAGGCGGCCAGCTCCGCTTTCGCTCGGGCAAGCTCGGTCGAATCTCCGTCTCTAGGGTAGTCTTCTCCTTCTAGGAAGTTTGCCGCGAACTTCCGTTCCATTTCTTTCGCAGCAGCCATAATTTGTTGTAGCGTATGAGTGATGGGGGAAAATTGGTTTCGCAACTTAGCCCTGATTGTTCGGCTGCGGAGTCCGTCAATAAACAGGTCTCTCCCTACTTGCTCACCTCGCTCAGTTTTTACGAACATTCAGTAGAACCGGTTTCGATATTCCACTACGGATTCGAGCGGTTTTTGCACCCGGTCCTTGATCATGTACAACGCTTGCTCAGGGTGGACATAATCAAATCGGTTCATGAAATCTCGTTCGAAGGTCGGGAGATCCACCCATACATAGGTACTATACCAATGATGAACGTCTCCTCCCATTCGAGCCGGAATGTTGATCTGCGCCTTGTGATCGTCGTACTGCTGTGCTCTAAGCGTGGCCAGCCATGCTCCTGCGAGATGGTGTGCCGGATCAAATAGATAGAGATTTGGTGGCGACATGGGAGCTCGTGCACGTGGGGCAGGTTGATTAGGAGGATTAGCATTTTGTTGCGGAACCGGATTTTGCACATTGGCAGCCATATTGGCTGCTCGTCGGTTAGCCGATCTACTTCTGGTGACGATAGGTTCGCGTCTGTGCGCATTCCGAGGGCGAGGTCGCCCTCGGTTAGCCAGGTCGCCTAATTAACGTGCTATCAATCCTAAGATCCTAGCCACGTGTCGGGCTCCGATACCAAGCTCACGCCCAACGCGACTTCCTGATCGGAGTAGGATGTGGGCCTGGAAGTGCGAAAAGGGGTGTGCCAAGGATTTTTGGGAAAGTGGGGGAGTCTTAAGGGTGCGCAAGGGACTCAAGGTCTGATGGATCCGGGGCACTGTGGGCGACGGCTTACGAGGAAATCCCTCCGCGGTGGAGGTGGTCCCGAAAAGTTAGGCCGTCGGGGCCCACCACGTGGCGCAGTGGAATTTCCGCGGACATAGTCGATTCTCCGTGTGACAGGGGTATTGCAGCCTTATGAGTTCGTTTATCCAAGGGGTGAAATAATCTGGGTCGTAGGATGTGTCATAGTTCCAAGATCGCGTCATGGTATCATCGTAGATGGGACGGCTCGGGTCGGGTTATCGTCACCTCGCACGGGCACGTGTAGGGCAGGCGAACTTAGTTGCGCCTCATCGTGCTCGTACGGGATGACGGTTCCGCCGCGAATCTTTTTGGGTGGGTGAATCGACGCACGGGAATGCGTGTAAGGGCGCGACTCGGATCGCGTTTACACGTGTTCTCCTGCGGCGTTCGCGGGGCCAGACTTCGGATCGTCTAATTGCTTCGTAAGTTTCGATTGTGCAAGATGCAACCACATCACAACCCCATCGTGAAACAAGCGAAAACGAGAACAAAATCGCTAATCGGGGCCAGATTCTTATCCCATCTACAGCGGGATCAGGTGCAGGCAAAGATTCGACACAAACAAAAAGCAAGGACAAGGATTCTCTGCGAAGAGATAGACAAGCAGGCATAACCTTCACACATCCATACATTCGACAATCATACATATAATGCAATCGCAAGGATAGGTGTGAGCAAAAACCCAAGTCCAGATTCCAGAAAGCCGTAACAAAAATAAGAACGGGCAAACCGCCTGGAGCCGCAATCAAAATGTATGTACACAGATGAAGAGGGGGAAGAGACAAAGAAACAGCAAATCCGCGTCCATCGACCTCAACTCTCTTCTCCTCTCTTTGTCTCTCCGATGCGGACAGTCCGTCGTCGTGCACCAACCCACGAAGTTGTCACCCCGCTTAGTCTTCCCGCACCCGTCGGATTCGCCCGTGCCCACAGTCCGTCGTGGCCCACGTCAATCCCGCGCGTTCGGCACCAGCCCGTCGGGTCGCCCAACTCCTACTCTACTCACCTCTTACTTCGCTCGTGTGCCGACCCTTCCTGATCGCGCAACCTCGAGGTTCTGACAACGGGTTAAGAGACCTGACTAATCGCGCAGCCGAAATTTATAGTGTGCATGCATGCGCGAAGAACATGGAATTACCAGGACTTAGAGTGGGGATTAGAGAGGGAGCGCCTGCGTTCTGCATGATCGGCCGCGGCGTGGGGGACGTAACCCTTCTCCACGCATCGATCCGAGCATGCAAGCCGCGACTTACAAAAAATTCAGCAAAAGAAAGAGAGGGAGGGCGGGAGAGACGGAGTGCAAGAAGAAAGATACAGTTACAATGGCGCCCGCCCAAAATTACAGTTACACACACGATTAAGGGCGCCCACTAATCAGAGTACCCTTGCGGCCGCATGAAGAAGCGCGTAGACTAAAGGCGCCGCGCGGCAGGAAAAATCCTAATTACCGAATTCCTAAATTCCTATCTAATGCGAAAAATCGAAAAGTACAAATTCAAGAAGGAAAGTCCGAAATTCCGAGAGCCGTCGGGGCTCGACAAAATTCGAAAAGATTCAAAAGAAAATTCAAAAGGAACGAAGCAATTTCCCGCGCGATGTCCGCGCCCAAAAGATCGAAACCGAAYGGAAAGAAACGASGTCAACATTTAYTGATCGCGCGCGCGGTGGCGCGCCAGACATCCATCCGACCAATCAATCAACCGGCCGTCCCAGGACACACCCAGCTCCGAACCCAGTCATCCGACAAGAAGCGACGAAAAAGACAAAAAAAACAAGGGTACTGATGCAATTTTCCACCGATCCCGATCTCCCGTAATTGGCCCAACCTTCCCAACTTAGGACCCCTCATTGCAACCGCGCAGAAAATCATGCGTTACAGAAAGTGGTTCGTCACAGCGTATAAACAGAAAAATTATTCTAACAATAAGTGAGTCAACTAATCATACCGCATAATTGGGTAAACGCACCACGAATCCTCATCAACCGGCCCATTACCTCCCCTACTCCCGCCCCAGCCTGTATCCTACCACCATCTGAGGCAAAACCAAGACGAAGCACTCACCTGTCACCACTATCCACACCGAAACCCACCTGATCTCGACCGGTTGACGTGGCAATCGCAATCCACGTGGCATCACGGTAGCTAAGCAGCACACACTACTGGACAAGCCCTGCATATGAGAGGGAACAATTATAGATGATATAAATGGTATAGATGGTGTCCGACGCGCCGCATCAGGTGTGCACACCAAGGTGGTTGCCTCTATTGTCTGCGGTCGAAAAGCAAAACCGCGTCGTATTGTCGTTGATATAATAGCATCGGCGAGCCCGCTGCCAGAAGTTCGTTCCATGATGTACTAACTTGAACCATTGGTGTTGATGTTGTGCCAGTAGGATTGGTCACATCTTCAGTATAGGTGTAATCAGTCACATCTTCAGTGTAGACGCTATCTCCCGCCAGCTGCAGATGACCATCAATCCCGCATGCAGTCCTGAAGCCGCAGCCAAGATGACCTAGAAGTAGCTCCCCATCTACACCTTTGTCATCCATTGCCAGGCGATCCTCCAGCTGGTAGCGCAGGTCTCGCCCCTCCCGAAAAAGAGCTTGGCAGACTCCCATCCTTGCCCCCACCCCTCTCCAATCCATGTAAGCATAAAACTGTGGAGCCGGCCCCTCCTCCACCTCCCACAGAATATCCAGCATATCTTGAATACGGGCTTCCAACCAGTCAACCAACATGATCGCCCCCTGTTCATTCACCAACCCCTTCTGCAGCTGGTACGACAAAAACCTCACCACCGCCTGCAGCCACCGACCTCCCGTCTCCAGGGTAGACAGCCAATCATCAGCCCCCCGTTGCAATTCCGCCTCCGTCGCCATGACGTATTAAAAACGCTGCACCGCTATTCGCACAAAATTCCAATCATTCACTCAGCCGACGCTTCCCCTGTCCACGCGTCGCGGGACACACACATCACCAACCAATAGCTGCCATGTGGCTATCAACAAACCCCGTCTCCCTATCGGGCGTGCACACAGGCCCAGCAGCCCGGGAGCCAAACCTCCCAGACACCAGTTGCGCCGGGACGACCGAGCCCTGTCGGTCGGCCGGCAGCAGGGCGCTGACACTAGCGCTAGCACAGCTTGAAAAAAGCTCTTGCCATCTCACCCAGTGCATGCAACACTAACTTAAACCACCAGTACTTCCTAAAGTTGTGCCTGTTGACAAGCCACAATTTTAGGAAAAATACGGGCCACTACAGGAGCGCCCAAATTCATCCGACTAGAAAAATGTTTCTACTCTAATTTTCTCCGTGGCCAATAGCTTGGCCAAGTGCTGGTGGTTTAAACCACCAGTTTGCAATGGTGACATCGAATTCTTCTCAGCTTGTTGATGGTGTAAGGGTTCGGCACTCCCGATGGGGAGCAGAACTGGACTCTTTAGCAGGGGATGGGTGCAGCCGGGCAGGGGGACGAAGGGGCTTACTGGTGCCCCTCGATGGACCCGGCTGGCCCGCGGTCCTGACCTGAGGAGGTAGGGGATGCTGTACCCGGTTTCCGGATGTAGGGAGGTGCAATCCTTTTTGGTTGCTGAGAAAAGGAAAGATAAAAGAGTTTGAATCCCACAGACTCATGAGGGTAGGCCTTGTCGGTTTGGGCAGGGGACGCTGGACCCGGTTTCCAGCAGGTTTCTTGCCTGGGGTGTCATGGGACGCTGGACCCGGTTTCCAGCAGGTTTCTTGCCTGGGGTGTCATGGGACGCTGGACCCGGTTTCCAGCTTGTTTTTTCCTATTGCAGTTCTCAGCCTAAGCCGGGTAATGCCCCCCCCGTTTCTTTTCTGTATTTAGAAATTTTTCGAAAGGGCCGCTGGGCCCAGTTCCCAGCATGTGCTGCTCCCCACGAATAGATCGGAGCTTTGTTTTCCCACAAAAAAAAAGACATCGAATCTTCTATCCCATTGAGTGCGAATCGAGCTGGCCACAGGAGACCTGTACGCTGAAAGTGCTGCCTCCTTGTTTTCAGCTGGCCACAACTGGGGCCCAAACTGGTGGTTCAAAACTCAATCGTCGACTGATATAAAGTTTCATGCAAATTTACCACACACTTCTCACAAGGGTGAACTAGGCCAGAATCTTGCCAAATTATTGGCCAAATTATTGTCCACTTTCACCCAGAATCACACTCAGCATAGTAGTTGCTACATCCTTTTTTTTTTTGTTTCACATGAATGTAGCACCATTCTGGTGTCCCCCTAAATGATAATGTTACACATCCAGATGATGCAATCTTAGGTCAGAGTGAGAAGTGGTCCATGTTGTCCTTTGTGACTTCTGGCTAAACTCTAACAATACAAATAGAAGAAATAATGAGAGTGGAAGGTTGGGAGGGAGTCTCATGAGGATGAGGGACCATGTAGATAACCAATGGTCGACTACCGAAGGTGGCTGTCATATGTCTAGCAGACTCTACAACAACCTGGACTTGGAAAAAAAGAAGAAGAAGAAGAAGACAAAGAAGAAGAAGAAGAAGAAGAAGAAGAAGACGAAGAAGAAGAAGAAGATTAGCATAGGCCTGTGGAAGGATGACAAACAAAGATGAAGAAGTGGTCCATATTCAACGAAGGAGAGAAAAAAGAAAGAAAAAAGAGAGAAAGAAAGATAAAAGAAAGAAAGAAAGGAAGAAAGGAAGAAAGAAAGAAAGAAAGAAAGAAGAAAAAGAACAGGTCCATTTTGTCAGGAATACTTTCAGAAAAGATCAAAAGAAAAGCTTTGGAACTGGCTGAGGGGGGGAACAAGGGGGTTGGTTAGCAGAGGTTGAGTGAGTAGAGGGAGGGTGAGAGCACACTCGGAATGGATAACCTGCTCTCTTATCATGATCGGATGAAGATAGATGCTAGGATCCCATTGCGTCCTCCCGCAGACTGCCCAGAGCCCTCCCCCCCACATAATCTCTCCCTTGTCGGTCTGCAATGGTATGGTCAGTGAGGGGGGTAGCTCAGGTGTAATTCAAAGTGGCTTGAGGGAGTACTGCACTATTTGGCGGCCAGGATAAGGATGGAAAAAAAAAAAGAAAAAAAAAAGGGATAAGGATGAAGAAGCCACCAATCCCCTGGATATCCCCAGTGCAACAAATGCAGCTATGCTTGCTGATGATAAGCAACCGGACTGACGCCCCCCAGAATAGATGGGGCATGTGTTGTGTCACTTGTGTGTGTGTTAAAAAAAAAAAAAAAAAAAAAAAAAAAAAAAGTCGTTCGGGACATCCGTTAAAATTGGAACGATACAGAGAAGATT